GGGGGCCCCCCCCCCCCCCCCCCCCCATCCCTTATCTTTCTCTCAGTTTTTGTTTTGGGGAGTTACAAGTCTCCTATCCCGAGCACAGATAATGCCCAGCACTTCCCAGATTTCAAACACGGTGCTACGGGGCAGCGAGGTTGTGCCTCTCCTCCCCCCCAGCCTGCAGGGCCAGAGCATCCCCCAGCACGCAGACACTCGCCTCCTCCTATCACAGAGTCACAGAATCATTCAGGCTGGAAAATCCCCTCGGGGTCATCGTGTCCAACCCTCAGCCCGACTCTACAAAGTTCCCCCCTACCCCACATCCCCCCACAGCTGATCAACCGGGCTCAAACCCGCTACAATCCTGCCTGCTTTTTTTTTTGGCAAAAACATGGAGATCTGGCCGTGCTCTGAATACGGCACAGAGGTGACAACCAGAGAAAAATCTGATTTTATTTACAAGAGGGGCAGGAGAGGGGATGGGACAGGGGCGCTTGCAGGCGGATCCGGGATGGACCTGCGGGAGAAGCGCTGGCCAAAAAACAGGAAGGAATAAAGTGGGATCCCTCTCCCTGAAGGCTTATCTCCAGAGCTGCATTCCTGTGCCAGAAGGGATGCACCCGCAGCCAGCTCGGGGCGAGGGGGAGAGGAAACCCAAGCCTGGCTGCGGGAAAACTGAGCTCCCCAGCAAAACACCTCATGGACAAATGTCCTCCCTGCTTTAAGCACGTGTCGGAGCGCCATCCTCCATGCAGGAAACTTTTCCCCACCAGCTCCTGGAGGAGGAATCATTTTGCTGACTCCTAACCCAGCTGGGCACAGGGATGATCCAGAGCAGGGCCCCGACCCAGCGGGTCCTGAGCCCAACTGCGCTCGCAGGGACGGAGGGACCAGGGCAGCCCTGGAACGAGCCCTGGGGCAGGAGGTGACTTACCGGCCGCCTCCCCGCTGCAGGAGCTCTGGGTGCTGGGGGGGTTGTTGTCCTCTCTGCCTGGGTGGCTGGTCTCTCTCGGGGAGCCCCGTGCTACCTCCCCTGGGGGTATCTCCAAAGCTTTCCGGTCCTCCTCGGCCGGGAGCGGGGTGTCCACGCCGACCTCCAGCACTCGGATGGTTTCGTGGCTGGACATGACAATAACCTGCAAATGTGCCCCAAAATGTCCTCCATCTCTGGGTGCCCAACCCCGCAGCGCTGTCCCCCAGGACATGCTGGGAGTGAAGTAGCTCCCCCCCCCTCCGCAGGACATGTTTTAGGGTGACCCTTAAACCAAACCAAGATGAGCCCATCCCATCCCCTTGAGGAGGGATCGCAGCTCCCCCAGCACCTCGCTGCTTTCGTTAACCAGCAGCTTCTGGGCTCTGATGGCCCCACAGCACGTGGCAGGTAAAACACGGCTGCTGGTGGCTGCAGCCCCCCTGGCAGAGCCAGCCCCAGCGCAGAGCGAGCGCGGATCTACAGCCCCGTGGCTCTGACTCGGGGTCGGGTGAACCCTCCAAACCACAATCTGATTTCTTCCATGTCAGGGAGACACAGAACGTGAGGAGCAGAGACACCTGCTCCTCCTCCAGCTCTCCTGTGGCTGCAGACACGAAAGCCAGGAGCAAAGATCTCTTGGGAACAGTGAGGCTGTGGGACGAGGATCTCACACCTCTGTTGGTAAAAAACCCCAAGATGAGGCAGCCAAGCTCCAGCAGATGGGGCTGAACATCTGTGTGCCCAAGTGTGGGGGCAAATGGGGTGAGCACGGGGCAGGAGGGAGAAGGTTTCTCAACCCAAGTCGGGGCACACAGTGGGGCTCCAAGCCCCAACTCCCCACCCCGGGGTGAAGGGGATGGAGCTGGGATGCCCGTACCTGCTCATTGACCGTCAGCGAGGCCTCCTGGGGCTGCACGGCTTCCGTGTCCATGGTGTCCCGGCAAAGTGGGAGAGGGCTCAGACCTTCCACATGCTGCAAGGACAGGACACGGGAGGGTCTGTCACCAACCCAGACAGCGCCTCGGGGCTCACATACTGCCTTGAGCCGGGGCATGAAGCAAACCTGGGCTCTCCCACCAACCCTCCTGCTCTGTGCTGGCCCTGGCTGCGATCTGGAGCAGCACAGAGCTTGTTAACGTCCTGCTGCCCTGTGCTGTGGGGACACACGCTCCTCCCCAGGGTGGCTTTGGGGTCTCAGGTACCTCCCACCACCTCCAGGCCTCTTGGTAAAGAGGTCCCAGCCATGGGGTAGTGTCATTTACTGCACGAGCATCAAAGATGGGAGCAGCAGAGCAAGGGAAGGTTATTCCAAGGGCCAAGCCTTTCCCCCTCTTCTCTTCCTTTTGGAAATGAGGATGCAATTCCTACAGCCTCCTTGGAAAACCCCCAAAAAACAGGCATGGATCATGTGAAGCCGCCTGTGCCTCCTATTTGAAGCCCAGAGCAGGTCTCCAGAGTCTTCACATGACACCGCAGCTCTCCCAGGGCCCTGATGATTGCTACAAGGAGTAGGAGAGACAATTTGCTCTTTTCTGAAGGGACCTAAATTGATGGGGATACTTCATTAAACTGGTGATGGAGGGAAGGGGCTCAGCACACCTGTTGGAAGGCTACTCTTCCTCTTCCAATGCCCTTCATTAACTCATTTGATCACGTATTGTCCCCTCGCTGCCTTGCAGAAGCATAATTGCCTTTATAAGAGGCTTATGAATTTTTTATTAGGAACGTCTCAGGGATGCATTTAACCAGCCAGCCTGGATGACATTCAAAATTACTTGATGCACGTGCAAAGGTGTCCTTGTTTGTGTAAGTGCTGGGGAGCCTGGGGGCATGTTGGTGTTGGGGGGTGCAGCCAGTGCCCAGCTCCCCCTGCTCGAGCTGTCTCAGACCGCTGGGCCGTGTCTGTCGTGTGTCGTCCCCCCCCCCCCCGCCCGATCCTGTCCCTGCCCCTCCAGGGACGCTGCCACTGCACGGACCAGCCTGCTCAGCCCTTGGCAGTCTCTGCAAAGCTTAGAGGAAGCAGAGCTCAGGCAGAGCATCCCCAGGGCTCACAACTCATCCAAAAGGGAATTTCAGCCCCAAACTTGCATCCGTGCATTTCATCCATTGGTTTTTACTTCTGCCAGGGAAACCAGCGTGGTGCGGGCATCCCCTGCTGCTCTGCGCGCTGTGATACATCGGCCTGTCACGTCAGCCCAGGAGGCACTTCCAGGATCCGGGAAACATCTCCCGGCACCGTTTTACAAGCCCTTTATCGTTTCTCTGCGTCTCAGAAGCCACCAGGCTCCTGCTGAGGCCACCGAGCGTATCCTGAGCCGGAGCTGGCATTTGTATGTAATTAGTAAACATAGTTATTCAGATCCTGTTGATCCAAAGGGGCCTAAATTGAATTAAGAGTCAAATTCTCATTTGATACTCAACAGGGGCCACACATCTAATTCCCTTAGGCTGGCATTTGTACACACTGCTTGTTATTTATTATCTGCAGTGAAGTGACACTCGGTGTCCGAGCAGAGACGGGGCTATCTCCTTCATCAGCCACTCGTCCCAGCTCTCCCTTTTCCTCGGCCTTGCCAGGCTCAACCCAAAAATTCCTGCAGGACCCAGAACCAGCCCCGCTGTCAGACTCACTGAGGACTTTTAGAGCAGCCGGTGACTGATCTCCAGTCGCTGCTGTGAATTTTTAAACCTGGCCTTAGCTTTAGAGCAGACAAACACCTTGGGATGCCGGTGCACAGTTTAATTAACAATTTATTCTAGTGCAACAGAGAACAGAGCAAGGGATGAGCGAGTGGCTTATGCAGGCAGCTGGCATTATTAAAAGTTAATGAGCTCTCCAACAGCCACAGCCCGGCGACCGGCGAGGAAGCCCAAGCAAGGGCTCTCTGTGCTGGCTGCAAGGGGCAGGCAGCGCGGGCAGAGCAGGACAGAGGTGCAAAGTGTCCTGCTGCAAGAAGAGCCAGCGAGGGCAGGAAAACGCTCCAGAGCTTTCTGAACCTCTCTAGAGAGCGGCTGGCAATGGGGAGAGCTGCTGGGGGTACAGGGGGGGCTCTGGCCCTGTGTCCTAATGAATTCAACCCCCTGGGCTGTGACCCACTTGCTCCAGGTAGCTGCTGTACATCACTTCACCTTCTCTCTGCACCACCAGACCACGTTGGCCTGGATGGAGCCTGGCACAAGCAGAGCAGCCCTCGGGGGGTCTGCTAATGAGGAGCAGCCCCCCAGCATGTTGTGGCAGCTTTTTCCTACACCTGAGCCTAGAAGAGGTGGGAAAGGTTCCTGATGTCGCCCCATCACCTCTCTGGCACCGTGGCTGCCCCAGGGATCCCTCCCCAGCTCCCCACTACGCCTGGCACACAGGAGTCCCCACTAGAGCAGGTGGTTGAGTCCAAACTGGGATCCCAAACAGGTGGGTGAGGGCACAGTGACAGCAGCTGGAAGGGAAGGGGTGGCCGGGGGGTGTGCGGTCTGTGGGGACCCCCCTCCTGCACAACCGGGGCACGTCCAAAACCCAAAACCACTTGTGGAGCCACCACAGAGCAGGGCCCGGAGTGGATGGGGAGCACTGGGCTGCTGTGCAGGGACTACGGAGCCAAAAGCCCGTGGGGCGGCTGCAGCGATCTCCAGGGCAGCGCGGGGAGAGGCGGCAGCCCCGGGTACTCACTGTTTGCTCTGGGGTGAATGGACACTCCTGGCAGGAGATGGGGCTGGCTGCTGTGTCCTGCTCCTCGGGGAGGGCCGCTGGGCTGCGGTGCTCCGGGTTTAGGCTGTGGGGAAAGGAAAACCAGAGCTGTCTCTGTGCCGAGCTCTGCCTGCTCCCGCGCTCCCCGAAAGCGATGAGGAGCAGCAGGATCCCATGCGCCAGCTCTTGGCGAGGGGGGACGACTCAAAAGCATCCCCATCCTTGCAACTTAATTCCGCTTTGTTGCTCCTCACCGAGGAGCTTTGGGAACTTGAGCTGAAGTGGCAAGCTGCCCCTAAAGCTTGTGGTACCCAAAACTTAACACACGTGTTGGCTTTTCTCAGAGCCTCGGGGTTTGCCAACATAAGGAGCAGCGAAGGCTGCTGCCCCTGCCAGACCTCGCTGTTATCCACCCCTACCCAGCCCAGCCCAAGTCAAAAAGCCTCTCTCAGAACCACAGATTTATTCTGGCACAACTGGAGTGGCAAAAGGCTGCAGCAGGTACAACATCCCTGCTCCAACCACTGTATTTATCTCCGTGCAAGGCGTCGATCTGTTCAGGCCTGCCCCGTGGGGGACGACTCAAATAACGTGGAGAGAAGAGGAGAGAGAGATATTTTTTTTTTTTTGGTGCCGTGCAAAGAGACCAATTAGTGCGCTAGACGATTAAACAGACATTTCATAATGTCAGGCTCAATGCAGTTTGGCGGCGTGCTTCAGCTTTCGGAGTGGGCTGCTTCTCCTGTGGCAGACGTTCGGCAGGTCGGCAGTACCATTTCATTTCCTTGCCGCCATCTGTTGCGAAATGGCTGTCTTCTTGCTGCGTGCACTTAACACCACCATCTGGACAAATTATTTGTCCCATTAATTGCAAAAAAAAAAAAAAAAAAAAAA